CACGGGCCGCAGGTACACCCACAGCTGTGCCTTCACCACCTTCGTGAACATGACCTTGGGGCTGAAGTTGAAGAAGCAGCAATGGGGGTTGCCCTCGATCTGCACCACGGGGTCCGCTGTGGGAGGAAGGAGGTATCAGGGGCAGCGCCGGGACCCCCCTTGTCATCCTCATCATCCTCATCCTCCTCATCCTCCTTACCCTCATCATCTTCATCCTCCTCATCATCCTTATCCTCACCCTCCTCATCATTCTCATCCTCCTCATCCTCCCCAGGGTAAACTAATCCTCAGTCATTAGCAGGTGAAGGTCGAGCCAGGGGCTGCCCTGGGGCTCATTCCCCTTCATCCTCAGCAAGGTCCTGGCTGTCCCTGACCCCGTGTCACCTGGGATTCAGGATCCCCCATTTGGATGAGGGCTGAGTGGGATGGGGGGGTTCCTGTGACAGTGCCGCAGCTGGCCCATGGCACAGCATGGTTGCCCCAGGCCCCCCACCAGTGCCCCCATGAACCCGCCATGGGGCAGCCCCACACCTCGGTGGGACAGGGACAGGGCTCAGGGGTCCCGCACACCCTCCCCCCACTGCTCTGGCATTCCGTGCTCCGCAAACACATCTGTGTCAAATTGAGCTGGGAATTCCGCCCCCTGCCACGCACCGGTCAGGTTTAATAGCACCCAGCTGCAGCGGGGCCATTTGCTGCAGCGGGGCCTCCCTGGCACATGGGGGTCATGACACAGGGAGCCCCCCAACCGCGCTGTGGGGGCCCGGCACAGACACATCCCCCCTACAATTTGCTGCCCCACAGCCCCACATTAAATCCCTGATCTCCTGGGGAACCCCAAAGCCATGTTGGGTTCCCCCTGGCTCCCAGTTGGGGCAGGTTGTGCCACTCAGCCCCTTGGCCACCAGTTACCAGTGGGACATTGTCCCAACCTGGCCAGCAACCACCACAATGTGTCCCGGTGCTCCTGGTGGCTCTGGGGGCTGTAGATGTGTCTATGGCGGGGGTTGGTTTTGCGGGTTCTCCAGATAAGAGATGCTGGAGTTGGCACCGAAGCCCCTCACCACGGCACCAAGGCACCGGTGGCACCAGTGGCATCAGTGACCTGTGTTCCGGGCTTCATCCTAGCATCCCGGGGGGCACAGGGGGGGTTCTGGGGTGCTGGGAGTGTGGGGAGGTCTGTGCCATGCCGGCTGCCCCTGGCACTGCCAGGATACTCGTCTGGTCACTGTGGCAATGGCGAATAAAGGATAAAGGTCCCTGGGACACCTGGAGGGGGGTGGCTCCCGACCCCCACCCCCCCCCCAAGCTCTTTGTTCCCACTGGGCCACATCTGGGGCTCCCACCCCTGTCCTATTAACCCTTCGCCTAGTGTGGAGGCCTGGAGAGACACCCCCCGCCCAGCTCCAGTCCCGCTACGTGCCAGCAGCGGTGCCATGGTGTCCCCATGTCCCCCCATTCTGCTGACCTTGAGCCCCCCCAGCAGCACCCCCCCAGGACCCCTCATTACGGGTCGTGGGGTCACGGGTAGCCCCTAAATTGGTTTAAGACCCAATTACCCCCCTCGGGGCCCTTCTGCCGAGGGTGGGGGGCGTTGGGGGGGGATGGGATTACCAGGGGGGAACACGAGAGCTTTATGGCTCTGCTGCCTGTGAAGCCCTTTCCCTCCTCCTGCTCAGGAACCATAAAACCCACAAATTGCCCCGGGAGAGGGGATGGGGGGGGGCAATAATCATAATGATAACGGGGCGGCCGCAGCCAGACCCTGCGGTGCATCCGGCTGCGGCGGGGCCGGGACCCCCGGAGAGGAGCTGGGGGCAGGAGCCGCCCCATACTCTTTATGTCTGCCCCCCGCCCCTGGCTGTTAAAAGGGTTGGGGGGAGGCAGGAACCCCCCGGCGGGGCAGCGATTTTATGGGTAATAAAATTTCAAAGCCGCCCGAATCTATTAATGGCTGGGAAGGGAATTGGGACGGGGTGGGGGCAGAGCCTCGCACTTCCCTCCCTTCCGCCAGCCCTTCGCACCCGGCCTCCCTCCCCTTCCCCAGCCCCGTGTCTACCCCCCCTCCCCGTGGGGGTTCTGCAGCCTCATCCCACCACCGGAGCAGGTGGAAGCAGGGAAACTGAGGCATGGGCCAGGCAGAGGAAGGAGGGAAGGATGGACAGAGCAGAGTCTCCCCCATGGCATCCCCCCGGGACACCTGCTGCTGTCACACACTGTCATCCCACTGTCACCCACGGTGACACCCACCCCATGCGCCCAGCATGGTCCCAGCACCCAGTGAACAGTGCCAGTGTCAAGTGCCAGGTCCCTGCACCCATCCCCAGTGCCGGTGCCCAGTTCTCCTACAGACGGGTGCCAGTACCAGGCCCCAGTACCTAGTGTCAGTTCCCAGCACCCAGTGATGAGTCCCAGTGCTGGTGCCAGGTCCCAGCACCCACTACCAGCTCCCAGCACCCAGTGACCGGTTCCAATACCCGTTACAAGTTCCCAGCACCCGCTGGCCATTCCCAGTCCCATCTCAGTTCCCGGTGCCCAGCACCAGCTCTCCCTGTATGCCGGTGAGTGTCCCAGCACTCGCACAGAGCCATCCCGGGTAGAGGGGGGGGGGTGACAGAGGGAAAGTGGGGGGCACCGGGGGGTACCGGGGGCTGCCAGAGGGGAACCGGTGGGGAGTCTCAGAGGGCCGGTACCTGCAAGGGACTTGAGGGGGGACACTGAGGGACACGGGGGTGGGATGGAGGACACTGGGGGTGGGATGGGGGGGATCAGGGGCGGGATGGGGACAGCGGGAGTGGGAAGGGGGACACCGGGGGTGGGATTGGGGTGCCCGCCGGCGAAGTTTGGAGCGGCGGCGGGGCGGAACAAAGGCGGCACTGACTTTCCTGGGCCATGCTGATGACGGTCTCGGTGGTGGCGTGGTACTCGTCCTCCTCCAGGTACTCGTCGTGCTGCAGCGAGTCCCCCTGGAAGTCGTGGAGGTCGAGGAGCTGCTGGAGCGGGGGGGCCTTGGGCAGCAGCTGCTTCACCACCTCCCGGGTGATGTTGGGCGCTTCCTTCAGCCGCAGCTTGCTCAGAATCTGAGACTTGATGCTCTCCAGCCGCAGCTCTTTGCTGTGCCTCCGCCACAGGCACACCGGGCAGGAGGGCTCCGGAGCGCTCCCCGTTCCCGTAGTGCCCCCCCCTCCCGTTCCCACCGCCGCCGCCGCCGCCGCCAAGAGGCAAAGCACCACCGGGGCCATACCGGGAAGCAAAACGTCCCCACCACCACCGGGGGCCGGGCCCCCCCCGTTCCGCTTCCACCGCAACGTTTTTAACGGGGGGGAGGAGGGAGAAAACAGGGAGGGGAGGGGGGGGCGCGGCGGAACGGGAGGAAGGCGGGAACGGTGCCGGGGGGCGGGGAAGCGGGGGGGGGGGTGGAAGGAAAAAGGGGAGGGGGGGGGAAAGGAAAAAAAAGCGGCGGTAACGGCGGCCCCGTGGTTTTATACCCCAAGAGAAGTGTGTCGTCACCGGCCATGATTGGCTGCGGCCGCACAAAAGAGGTTCGGGCAGGGGCTTGGCACCAGCCGCCGCCGGCCCCCCGAGCACCGGGAACGGCCTCGCAGCCACCGGGTCGGAGCGATGCCGCCCCCCGCGTCAAATCCTTCCCTTGTAACGGGTGGCGGCACCGGTGGGACCCAACTCCTGGCAAGTGCGGCAGGGCGGGGGGACCCCGACACTTGCCGAGAGTTGGGTCCCACCGTGCCGCCCCGGTAAACCGGGGATACGCATCCCGGTGGGTGTCTACGTGTGTTATCCCGTCCCCCCCGCTGCCCTGCTCCCCATCAGAACCATGGAGAGAGCAAACTGGAGGCTCGGCAAACCCGTGGTAGCGGGGCTGCAACCGGTCACTCTCCCTTCTAGTGGTGCAGAGACGCCCCCCTACGATACCAAACCGGCACCGGTGGGGTGAAGGTGACGAAGGAGCCACCCCTTTATCCCGTTATCCCATTATCCTCCCCCCAGCTACTCCCCACTACCGGAGCGGTGTCAAGCGCATCCCGCCAGGGGGCGACACAGCGGAGCCGGTAATACCGAAGAGGGGCGAGGGCGCCACCGTGTGGCGCTGGGAGACACAACCCGCACCGGTACCTCGGGGGGGGGTGGTCCCGGAGGAGGTGGGATGAGGCGGGAGGGAAGTGCTTGCTACGGGGGGTGCCCCCCAACCGTTCCCGGTGCGGCCGTTCCCCGTTCCCTGTGGCATCACCGAATCTCGGTATCACTGGTCCCGCGGCGGCGGAAGCTACAAAGCAACAAGCGGAAGCGGGTGGCTGCGCGGGGAGCATTGACAGCAGCGCATCCCCCCCCCCGCAGCCCCGCTGGCGGTTTTACGTCCGCCGCTCGGTACCGAGGGAGTTAAAGCGGCGCCGTGACGCGGCCCGTCCGGCCCCGCCCCACGGGCCGCCCTCCAGGAGCTGCGAGAGGCACCGGCCCCGGTAACGGCAAAGCGGGGGGGGGGGGGGGCGGGGGGGAATGGGAATGGGCTCGGGACCCTCCCGGGGGCATCGCAGGTGGGGGGAGCAGAGAAGGGTGTCCGGGGGGAGGGCACACGGGCTCCCCGGGGCGGGGGGAACACGAGAGATCCGGGGGGGGTCCCAGGATAGGTCTCGCTGTGGGGCGTCGGCCCAGTCACCTCTCACGGCTCCGAGGGCAGTGGGGACCTGTCCCCCCGGCCCTGCTGTGTCTTGTGGCCAGCCCCACGTCTTTGTCCCCCTGTCCCCATTCCCATGTCTCCACGTGTCCACATCCCCATCCCCATGTCCCTATTTCCCATGTCCCCACAGTCCCACGTCCCTACATCCATGTCCCCATATTCTCATGGCCCCATGACCCCATCCTCACATCACACGTCCCTACATCCCCACATCCAGGTCCCTACGTCCAAGCTATGGCCTCTGGCATTGGGTGGGATCACTGTAGCCAGGTCCCCACCCTGCCCAAACCCCAAAACCACTGGGCTGGGTGGTGGGGCCAGGCAGGAGGTGGGAGGCCACATCACCGCAGTGCCACGTCCCCTCAGCCCCGTGTCCCCCAGCCCTGGCCATGGCTGGGCTGCTCCAGGCCCTGGTGAGTGCCTCAGAGAAGGCTGCGGATATCGCCCGGCTGTGCCGGCAGGAGCAGCCGCTCTTCCAGCTCCTGGTGGCCGAGAAGACAGGACCTGACCGGAACCAGAGGTTTCTGCAGGACTTCAAGACGCTGGCAGATGTCCTCATCCAGGAGGTCATCAAGCATGACCTGGGGAAGGAGGTAGGGACGGGATGGGGTGGATGGCATGGAATGGCATGGCATGGCATGGCATGGGGTGGGACAGGGTGGGATGAGGTGAGGGCTCCCCCTGCGCTGCAGCTGAGCCATCCTGTCCCCAGTTCCCTGAGCTGCAGGGCCACATCCACGGCGAAGAGTCCAGCGAGTTCAGGAGCCCTGAGGGTGAGTCTGGGGGTGCAGCAGGGCTGGGGGGGGGCACCCCCACTCAGAGGTTGGTGCTGAAGCCAGGGCACCACAGGGGAGATGGTGACGGTGCGGGTGTGCGCCACCCCGGAGGACACGGCAGCGCTGCTGCTGGCGGTGCTGGAGCCTGAGCGCAAGGCCGCGGAGCTGCTGTCGGATGCTGTGCACCGTGACGTGGCACTGGCAGATGCGGCGTTGGCTGGTGTGGAGCTGAGCATCCCCCCACAGGACCTGGCCATCTGGATAGACCCCATCGGTGAGGGGGTGCTGGCACAGGCTGGGTCAGGATCCCCCCATCCCCATGGCTGAGCTCCGGCTTCACCCACAGACTCCACCAACGAGTACATCCGTGGGAGCGAGGATGTGGGCCCCATTGATGGCATTGCTCCAGCTGGGCTGTGCTCTGCGCTGGTGCTCATCGGTGCCTACAACCGGCACACGGGCTGCCCTGTGCTGGGTGTCATCAACGAGCCCTTCTTCCAGCGGGACTGCAAGACACGCAGGTACCTGCACCATGGGCAGCACTGGGGTTAGCAGGACCCCACCGGTGCTTGCACTGAGGGTCCCCATCCCCGCAGGTGGCAGGGCCGGTACCACTGGGGTGTTGCTTATGGGGACACGCGGCTGAGCTCACTGAGCCCCCCAGTATCGTCGCGGGTGCCACGCGTGGTGCTGAGCCGTGCCGAGGCACCAGCAGTGCGGGCAGCGCTGAAGCCTCTCTGCGGCGGGCGCCTGCTCTTCGCTGCTGGTGCCGGGTACAAGCTGCTCTGTGTCATCCTCGGGCTGGCAGACGTCTATGTGCTCTCGGAGGGCAGCACCTTTGCCTGGGACGCCTGCGCTCCTCATGCCATCCTGCGTGCCCTGGGCGGGGGGATCGTGGCCTTGGCAGGGGCCCTGCAGGTGCGGCGAGCAGGGGGCATCGGGACCCCCCCTGAGCTGGTATACAACTGCCCCATAGATGGGGCGGATGGGGCTGAGCGCTGGGCAAACTGTGGCGGCCTTGTGGCCTATGTGGACCCCCAGCACCTTGAGGCCGTGCTGGCCACGCTGGACACCATGCCGAGGCTCTGAGAGCATGGGGGCTGGGGGGGTGGGTCACAGGGTGGCAGGACCAGGGTATAGGGTGTCTGGGACCAAGGGTGGTGGGTCACTGGATCGTCAGGTCGTAGAGTATAGGACATCAGGGATCTCTGAGTGCAGTGTATGACGTGTCTGGTACCTCAGGGTGCAGCTTACGGGGTGTCGGGGACCTCTGAGTGCAGACTTTGGGGTTTTCAGGGGGTGGACCAAGGGTGGCAGGATGCTGGGACCCGGGCTGCTGTTGTGGGGTGTCCGGGATGCTGGGGATGCAGTTATGGGGTCCCAGCTGCGGTGTCTTTGCGATGGGAGCTCTGTGGTACTCCCCCGCCCTCCAAAGTCCCCCATTAAAGCATCCCCCGCACCCGGTGTCTGTTCTGCTGGGGGGAGGGCGGGACCCGCGGGAGGGCCGGGCGGGACCGGGGCGGTGCCGGTGCTGCCCGAGGACTCGCCCCGGTCCCGTCACATGATCGCGGAGCGGGCGGTGAAGCAGGGGCGCCGGTGAGCGCCCGGGGACGGGAACGGGAACGGGAACGGGAACGGGAACGGGAACAGGAGCGGGAGCGGGAGCGGGTGCGGGTGGGGGAGCATAAGCATAAGCAGAGGAGGGGACAGGAACGGGAGCGGGGACAGGAACGGGAGCGGTACCGGGGCTGAGCGGCGGCTCCTGCAGGACGGGCCATGGCGGTCGAGGGGGGGATGAAATGCGTGAAGTTCCTGGTTTTCGTGTTCAACTTCATCTTCTGGGTGAGTGCGGGGCCTGGGAGGGGGGGAACCGGGTGGGGAACCGGCGGGGAACAGGAGAGAAGCGGGAGGGAACCGGGGGAGGAGGACTCGGGGCCCGCCCCAGTCTCACGTCAGGCCGCGGCCCCTCTCGGTGGGAGTCAGGGCACCCCGGGGTGGGAGGGGGGGTCCTGCCCGATGCCCCCCGCCGCCATCAGTAGGTTCCAGGAGTAACGCGGCCGGTACCGGCGGTACCAGGGACACCAAGGCCGGGGGCTGGCATACACACACACCCCCCCAGGGGGTGACCGGGACCCCGCGGTCCCTGCAGGGCTCCCGCGGGGGGGGTCAGGGGGAGGTTTGGGGAAGTCGGGGTGAGGAAGGAGGCGCCAACGGCCGAGGCGGGGAGTGGGGGCACAAACCGGAGCTTTCCTGGCGCCCCCCCCAGTGGGGAGTGACTCGTCCCGGTCCCCACCCGGTCCTGTGGGGCTGAGTCACCCCTGAAGGGCCTCGGGCCACCCGCCAGCGGGGGGGGGCGGGCGGGCCGCGACTGAGACACCGGCGCCAGCCCCCCCCCCCCCCCCCCGACTCTCCAGGAGTGTTTGTGCAGCCGGGCCCGGCCCCGCGAGCAAACAGGGGCCGGGGGGGGGGGAACCGAGCCCGGGCTGACACCTCCACACCCTGCCCTGGACCCCCAGCACCGGGGGGGGGGCTGGCGCTGGGCACCCCCCCCCCGCAGCCTCTCCCCGTGGCGGGAAGGCTGCACTTCATCCTGGACTTCCTAGTGTTCCGCAGCAGCCAGCACCGGGGGTGTCTGTCCATGGGGCAGGATCGGGCTCCCCGTACCCCACTGCACCCCCAGAGCGTGCTGGGATAGGAGGGCGAGGGGGTCCCTACTTTGAAGACAACCCCCCCGTCAAAGGGTGCATGCAGGTGCCCCCCCTCATCGGCGGGGTCCGGCTGCCCCCCAACGGCTCTGCCCCCCCAGGTGTGCGGCGTCGCCCTTGTGGCCATCGGGATCTACACACAGGTGGCGCTGGATAAGGCGCTGGTGGTGAGCACGGCCTCAGCCGCTGGCACCCCTGTGGCCATCCTGGTCCTCGGCATCATCATCTTCTTCATCTCCTTCTTTGGCTGCTGCGGAGCCTGGAAGGAGAGTTACTGCATGGTCACCACGGTAAGCACCTGGACCCCCGAGACCACCACAAACACCCCCCAGAGCTGCCCAAACACCCCTCAAACACTCCCCAAGACTCCCTCACTGCACCCTGGAAGGAGAGTTACTGCATGGTCACCACAGTGAGTGCCCAGGCTCTCCAGACACCCCCAGAGACTCCCAAGAACCCACACTGCATCTTGACCCCCCCTTTAACACCCACCCTGACTCCCCCCACTGCACCCTGACACCCCAACCTCCTCCCCCCACAGTTCGCTGTCCTCCTCAGCATCATCTTCCTGGTGGAGGTTGCCGCTGCCATCGCCGGATACGTCTTCAAGGACAAGGTGGGGATGAGCCGGGGGGGGGGGAGGCACGGCCCCATCCAGGGGTGCTGGGACGCCTCTGACCCCCCCAGCCCTTCTGTACCCCGCCCCCAGGTGCGCTCGGTGCTTGAGGATGGGCTCTGGGATGCCATGAACAAGTATGGGGAGGATAAAGCCCTGACGGAGGCAGTGGATGAGCTCCAGAGGAATGTGAGCAACGGGATGGAGGGGGGACACGTGGGAACCCCCCCCTTGACCCACTGGGGACCCCACTGACCATCCCTCTCTGCAGTTCTCTTGCTGTGGAGCCAACAACTACACAGACTGGAGCAGCATCGAATGGTTCCGGGTGAACAACACAGTGCCTCGGTCCTGCTGCCGTGTCAACAGCACATCCTGCAACGTGCGCCCCAGCCCTGCCACCGTCTATGAGAACGTGAGACACCCCCAGACCTCTGTGACCCCCCCAGGGTCCCCACAGCACCCCCCCTGAGCCCCTCTGTGCCCCCCAGGGCTGCCTCCAGAGCATCGAAGCCTGGATGAAGAAGAACATCCTCATAGTGGCTCCTGTGGCTTTGGGAATCGCCTTCTTTGAAGTGGGATATGGAGCTGAGCCCCCCACTTCCATCCCCATGTGGGGGGCTGAGGCCCCTCTTCCATCCCCATGTGCGGGGCTGGCTCTTCCCCCCAGCCTGGTGTATGGGGCTGAGCAAGGTGGACATCACCCCATTCTCCTCTCTCTGTCTAGATCCTGGGCATCATCTTTGCCTGCTGTCTCATGAAGGGCATCCGCAGCGGCTATGAGGTCATGTAGCCCCCCCCCCCAGCTCCCACTGCTGCACACTAGGAGAGCTGTGGGGGGCTCTGCAGGACCCAACGTGCCAAAACCCTACCATAGCCTAAGGTTGGGAATAAAAGCTTCCATAGATCCCTGTGTCCCAGCACTGGGGTGGGATGTGGGTGGATCATTGAGCACGCAGGGGTGCGCCATGGTTCATGTGTCACCGGAGGGGGTGTTTTTATTGACAGCACTTGTGGGGGGAGCACAGCTTGGTCTGGGGGGATCAGCGGACGCGATGGGCAGGCTTGGGCAGGATGGTGGCCAGGACCAGGTCCACGATGCAGGTGGGGAGGTAGGAGGCGGGGAGCCAGAGCAGCTTGGCATCCCAGCCTGCGCTGTAGCGGGTGCGTGGGTAGCGGGCGCTCAGTGCGTGCTCCATGCACCACGTCACCTTGGCCAGGTCCGTGTCACAGATGAGGTTCATGATGAAGCGCTGCACCTTGAGGTCTGGGGGGGGGGGAAGGGAATGGGGTCTCAGGCACGGCGGTGCTGCGAGGGCTGGAGCAGCTCTGCCTGGAACCGGGCTGAGAGAGCTGGGCTGGCTTAGCCTGGAGAAGAGAAGGCTCCTTAAGGGGAGACCTTAGAGCAGCTCCAGTGCCTAAAGGGGCTACAGGAAACCTGGAGAAGGGCCTGCAGGGACAGGACAAGGGGAATGGTTTTAACCTGCCGAGGGGAGACTGAGATGAGATCTTAGGCAGAAGTTCGTCACCATGAGGATGTTGGGACATGGAATGGGTTGAACAGAGAAGGTTTGGATGCCCCATCCCTGGCAGTGTTCAAGGCCAGGCTGGAGCAACCCACTCTAGTGGAACTGGAGGAGCTTTAAGGTCCCTTCAACTCAAACCCTCCCCTCTGAGGGCCTCGGGGGGTGCGTCTGCCCCACTCACACTGCCGGAAATAGTCCTCCCCATAGCTGAGGCGCGTCTCAGGTGCCAGCCGCTCCCAGAGCTGCTGCAGGGATCCCTCGATGCTCTCCAGGTCCGTCACTGCTGTCTTGAAGAACCCAGGCTCCACAATGCTCACCTTGACCCCGAAGTGGTACATGTCGCGCCTGCGGGATGCAGGGGGTCAGCGCCATGGGGCTGGGGATGCTGCTGGTGATGAGGGCTCCAGCACCCACCGCAGGCTGTCACTGAAGGCCTCGATGCAGTACTTGGACACACAGTAGCCACCGCCATTTGCTGCAAGGCGGCCCAGGACACTGGAGGTGTTGACCACACGGCCCCGCGCCCGCTTCAGCAGTGGCAGTAGCAGCAGCGTCACCTCGATGGCTCCAAAGGCGTTGACATCCATGACCTGGCGATAGTCCTCCAGCACCATCCACTCCGTGGGGCCGATGGGATTGGCCACTCCGGCATTGTTCACCAGCCCAAAGAGACCTGGAGGGGGTGTGCCATGGGGAGGCGGGGGGGGTGGCGCTAGCCCTGGTGTGTTCCCCCACTTGTCCATCCTGCCCTGGACCCCACACACCCCACAGCACCACCAGTCGAGACCATCTTGCTCCATAGCCCTTCTTGAGCCAACCCTTATCCTCTGCCCTACTGGTATCCCCCTGCTCTGCCCTACAACACCTCATCAGGGACTCTGAATCCTGGGGACCCCCCGTGCCCCCTTATGGAGCTACTTGTCTTGATCTATAGCATCCCTTGGTGGGTCCCATCCTCTTGTCCTACAGCACCCACCTCTCCTGAGACCACCCATCCTGCTCCTTACTGATGGACCTCATCCCATACCTCACAGGACCTCCCTGGCTCCGATCCTGCCCCCAGGTCTCATCCTGCCCCACAGACCCCATCCCACCCCATAGTCCCCGCCTCATGCCCCATCCCCACTCACCTCTGTCGCCCACCTCATTGCTCACCCACTCGACGGCGCAGCGGATGCTGTCAGGGCGGGTGAGGTCGAGCAGGGTGGTGCGGAGGTGCCCAGGGCAGCCGCGGCGCAGCGCCTCGGCGCCGGCGGGGGTGAGGCAGGCAGCGAGCACGCGGTACCCGCGCCGCGCCAGGCGCCGCGCCAGCAGCTGCCCGAAGCCGCTGTCGCAGCCCGTCACCAGCACAAACTTGTCCTGCACCGACGGCAGCGTCTGCCGGTCCCGCAGCAGCCACAGCAGCGCCCAGCACAGCACCACCAGTGCCACCGCCAGCCACATCGTAGGGGCTGTGGGGCAGGGGGGCAGTGGGACTGGAGCCCTCTACATTAGGGACCCCCCTGCCTCGGTCACCCCATCACCCATAAACCACAGTGGGCACCACAAGGTCAATGCCCTGCCCCACACTATGGGGGTCATCACCCATAACAATACATGCCCCCTTCCAGCA